CAGGGTTCCTGCAGGCCAGCACCTATTGCCAGTTCCTGCTGGCACTGTGGGTAGCATTGAGATGGGCAGAGAGGGTGGCATGAAGTAGGCAGCAGCTCCTTCCTCCTCCTCCAGGACAGACCCTGCCCTGTCTTCTGGGGGATACATGCGGGGATTTTGGATGCTGTGTGTGATGCTGCTTCACCTTTGTTGGAACAAATAAACCCCCTTGCAGGTGCCAGGCTATGGGAGAGAAGGGCTGGCATGGCAGGTTTGGGGTGCAGGGGTGTCGCTCAAGTTGTCAGCTTGAGAGTCTTAGTATGGGTGTGCCCAGCCCCTGACTGCTCCTCTCACACATCATACTGGCTGGAGGCTGTGGCTGTGGGCGTCAGGCATTGCTGGAGGCAGGCAGGAGCTGAGCAGACTTTGGGTAACAGCGATGGACAGGATGAGCTGCATCTGCCTAGCCTGGCTGTCCCCATGAAGACTGCCCCCTGGGCTACTGGGACATGAGTGCTGCCACATCCTGGGGACACCAGTGGAGTTGCACAGTTGTCCATGATGTAACACCCATGTCTATGCTGACCCTGGCTCCAGCACATGTCCCAGCTGTCCCAGTGCTTGCTTGCTGGAGGGTGGGCATGGTGGCACTGTTGTGCTGGGCTGGGCTGTTTGCTCTGTTTGTACCACTGTCCTGTAGTGCTTGTCTGGCCTTTTGACCTGGCTGTGTGGGAGCCATGCGTCGCAGCAGGCACTGCTGCCTCCTGCTCGGCCTCCTCGCAGCCTCCTGCTCCCATCTGACAGTGTGGCAGAGGATGGGCACAGGTGTTGAATCACTGTCCAAATGCTCCAGAAAAGATATGTCCCCCTGCCAGGGGCCAGCATCCAGCTGTGGCACCCACCCGGCTCTGCCTCCCTGCTGGGGTAATTGGGCAGGACCCTACCTGTCCAGGTAGCCAAGGGCAGGGCCGAACATGGGACAAGTTACCCCACTGTCTGTAGGGTGGCAGATAGATACCCAGCACTTGTGCAAACCTGGACATCACCTATGACCTCATCCTGCTCACATCCTACCAGGCTGAAATGAACATGTGGCAGGGGATGTGGAAGGAGAGAATGCTACCATCCGGGAGCTGTCTCTGGCCCCCAAAGCCACTGTCACCTGGTACAATGGCTCCTGGGACCAGTGTCCCACCCTCAGTCCTGCACCTGTGCCCTCGTCAAGAGAGGAGAGAGGCAGGGGATGGGTGACAGGGCAGGGCAGACCGACTAGCTGGTACAATCATGGCCAGCTGCTGGCAGGGACCGGCCCCTCTTTTCTCCTTTCCTTGGCCCTCTTCTACCTACCAGGGGACATTTCCTTCTCAGCTTCTTGCATCCTGGCTTTTCCTCCTTGCTTCCTCACACAATCCCAAAATGTCCCCCAGTGTCTTGCATCTGTGGGCAGGGACTCCACCATCCCCAGGGTGTGCTGGTGTCCCCACTGTGTGCCTCTCTGGAAGTCTGAGGCTCTGTTGGGCCCTGCTGCATGCCAGTGCCCCGCTGTGGGTGTGGAGCAGCCCTGGCCTCCTCACCTCTGGGAAGTGGCCATGGGGGCAGCCCTGGGGGGCAGGGTCAGTCCTAGAGGTGCAACCTGGTAAATAGCCACCTGCTACTGTGTCTGCCCATCACCATATCACTCTGGGTGCCAAAGGTGTGGGACAACCTACTGTGACACTGGGGTATGTGGCAGTGCAGAATGGGCTGGGGACATGGGACATCTCTGGGGATGGAGATGAGCAAAAGTCAATAACCCCTGTCAAAAAAACCCAAACAACAAGCAGGTTCCAACAAGCTGTTGCCACCAAGAACGGTCCCCACACGAGCCTGGTACAGGCCAGCGTGGGTGTGTGCGGATGGTCCCCCTGGTGCCTGGGCACAGAGGACCCGTTGTGTGCCTGGTAAACAGGCAGGGGGTGGGGCAGGGGCCATGGGACAGCAGTGTGTGTCAGGGTGTCCCCTGTTATCCTGCCTTGTGCAGGAACAGTGAACTGTCCCTGGGACTGGTGTTACAGAAAGATGAGGATTCTCAGGTACTGCTCCTGGGGGCATTTTCTGTCTCCTCCAGCCCTTCTTCCTCTCCAAAACCAGGAACTTTGGCATGGTGAGTGCAGCATGGGCAGCACCCATGGGTGCAGTTGTGCTCATCTTACAGAAGTAGCACTGTGGCCATTTGCTGGCAGGGATCTGGGTGCAGGGCTCCCCCTGCTCACTGCCATTTGGGGCTGCTCTGACTTTCTTCTCAGGCTGCCCCCTGAGTGGGGCAGCATGGAGGTGATGTTGGAGACAGGAGGGCCTGATCCTGTTGGGAGCTGCGTCCTTCATGTTAAAGTCCATTCTTGCCACCCCATGGTCTTGCCCATTGGTACTGGTCATTGGTGGGAGGCTGGTGTGGGTGGTGTAGCAAGCACCTTCCCAGCAGTGGATCTGGGCCCTGCCCTGCCCATGGGGTGGCAGCAGGTATCAGGAGATGCCTTGGGTCTGATTTAGCCCTGGAGTGAGCTGTAGTTGGCTCACCTCACCCTGTGCCTCAGTTTCCAAACCTGCAGTGGTTCCCTGCCACCGGGCTGTGACGTGTCCAGGCACTCTGGTGCAAAGTGGCAGCAGCTGTGCTGGCGGTGTGCCGGGTGCTTGCTCCTGCCAGTGGCTGGAGATGCTGATGCTTATCCCCAGGGCCTCTGGGCACAGAGCCTTGACTGGACTTCTGAGCCACTGTGGCCAGGGATTCTTGGGGATTTGCTGTTGTTTGCTGTATGCTGCCAGTGGAAATTCCTTGCAGCCAGAGCCTTTTGGGAGAGCACAGAAGGGGTGTGGGGATGGTCCAGTTGCACCTGGAGCTGGTGCCAGGGCCTGGCTGAAGAGCTACCCTCTGCCATTAGACTCAGCTGTTGAACCTTGTGAGAGCCAACAGTGGCACAGTGATAAGGGGACATCATGCTGCTCCAGGCTGTGAGGGCACTATCCTTCAGGACTTGAGGTCTGGGCAACCCCAGCTATGGTGGACCATCAAGACTGAGCTCAAGCTCCAGCATCCTGTTTGCATTGCTGGAGGAGGGAACTATCCCTTCTGTGTACTCTGCCCTGAACTGCAGTGCTCTGAACAGGGTGCAGGCAGGAGGTTGTGGGAAGCCCAGGAACCTGATTGCTGCTGGCTGAGCTGTGACAGAGCCACCAGCCATCTGCAATACGTGGACACAGTGCTGCACTGCACCAGTGCCTGGGGCCTCTGTACTGCCCACACTTCTCCCTGGTGGCTGGGTTCTGTCCCTAAGCGTCCTGTTCCCTCTGCTCTGTGTCATCCCCAGTGGGTGCTGGCCTTCGAGATCTTCATCCCCCTGGTGCTTTTCTTCATTCTCCTGGGGCTGCGGCAGAAGAAGCCAACCATCCCTGTGAAGGAAGGTGAGTCCCAGCAAGGCAGTGCTTGGAGCACTCCTACACTTGGGGGCACCCTGAGGCCTTGGGGAGGTGCTTCAGCCTGGGGACAGGGGGGACCTGCAGAGGCCTTTTGAGGGACATTGCACTTGGCAGGGGCTACAGTCAAGGACTGGTGGGGTGTATGTGGTGGGTGGAAGTAGCAGAGTCTGTCCCAGCCTAGGGAGGCTCCCCTGAGGGTTGCAGGACCAACCAGCCTGGGCCTGTCATCAGCATGGACATTTTGCATGGGGAAGGGCAAGCTGGATGGTGCTGGAACAGCCACAGTCCCCCTGAGTTGTTGAGGGTCAGCTGGGGTGGCTCTGGGAAGGGCTCCCCAGTTGTGGGGGAAAGTGACCTAAAGGAAGGCCTTTGCCTGACCTTGGGGCACTCAGAGGCCTGGCAGGATGATAAATTGATGGGACTGGAGCTGAGGGCTCTGGGAGAATTCCAGGTGGAACTCTGATGCCTGCAGGCTGTGCTGCTGGGAGGAGGCAGCGGAGTGAAGCTGCCAGCTCACAAGGGCCTGTGGATGCCCATTTTGATGGGTGCCCTGGCACAGCAGGGCCAGGGGAGATGCTGGGCACTGATGACCCCCGTGTAACAATGGTTTGAGCCTGTTTTTCAGTGTGTCCCGGCGAGGGAGAGCCCAGCTGCCAGCACGGTCTGGCTGCAGCAGGCACTGCCTGGGTTCCTGCCTTGGTGCTGACATGCGCTGTGTGTTGTGTGGTTTTTGGTTTGTTTTTTTTTTGTTCTCTTTTGCTCATGTTTTCTTTTTCTTTCCCACCATCTCCCCTGCCCGCCTGCCCTTCATGCCTCAACTGCATGCGCCAGTCTGTAAGTTGGTGTGACGGGTGGGCTCCTCCCCCCATTCCCTTGCCAGTGCTGGCCTCATAGTCTGAGGAGGAAGAGCCTGGTTTAGATCAACTCACTCTGGCCTAATCCATGCCTCTGTAAACCCCTTGCTGTCCTCCACAGCTGGTGAAGATGAGCTTGGGTGGCACAGTATGGCCCTTGCCTGCTCATCCCTGGGGACTGACCAGCCATGGTGGTGTACCCCCTGGTTGATGGTGCTGGGTTCCCCAGGTGCTGGGGCCACTGGTGGCCATGGCCCCAGCCTCTTGGGCTGCATAGGGCTCTCCAGGCCAGGTGGAGGCTTGTCTTATCCCTTCTTCTTGCCTGCCTCCTGGAGCAAAGTCTGCTGGGTCCTGTCACCCATGTGGTGGCTTGTGGTCACCCAGCCTTGCCCAGTTGCCAAGGGGTTGGGGCTGGCTCCCACCCTGGCACCACCACCAGGTCCCTGTCTTGGCCCCTTATGGCTGGGACAAGCTGGGATGTGGCACTAGAGCCTCAAGGCCAGCAAGATGCCATGCACTGACTTAGTCACCAAACAGTGGCACAGCCACCAGTGTGGGTTCCAGCACCCCAACAGGCTGCTGGCCTATGCCATGTTGCACCTGTCCCTTGTTCCTGCCAGAAGCCTATCTTCACCAGTCACCACTGATTGTGGCCTTGCTAACAGCACTGACCTATCTCTAACCACAGTCATTGGCAGGGTGGTGAGAACAGGGTCCCTGCCTGGCACTGCCCAGTGACAACCTGTGGTCACCATCAGGCTGGGGCATTCTGGGCTTTGCCCTGCCCTGGGGAAGGACACGGGAGGGTCCCAGCAGGGATGATGACTCAGTGCCAGTGGAGGGGGGAAGGTTTGCCAGCCCTTTGCTGCTTCTTGTTTCTTTCATCTTCCCACTCTGTGTCTCCATTTCCACCCACCTCCAGCCACTGCACACTGGGGCAGCTGGGTTTGGGGGGAAGCTGGAGGCTCCGGGAGCTGCAGGTGACGAATCTATTTTCCGTGTTGTATTTTTCCTCCCTTTCTTCTGGAGATCCACCACTGCCTCTGAGGCTACTAACAGGAGGGGCCAGGAGCCTGGAGGAGGTTGGTGGCCATCTTGGGGGCAAGTGGCAGAAATTCGCATTGTTGTGGGGCTCAAGGGAGCCATCACCCAGAGAAGAGTGGGTGGGGGCAAGAGGGCTGGAGCTGGGGTGCTGGAGTTGTTTGCAGCCACACAGAGTCACCAGCCAGGACAGCCCTGGTGGGAAAGCTGCTGACTTCTGACCATGGCCACCAGCCTCCCATGTGCTCACAGACCCCAGTGCGTGCTTTTCTGAACTGAGTGTCTGTTTCTCTGGTGGCCCCTTCCCCCTCCCTTCCTCTTTGCCTCTCCACCCCACTGCCCGCACTTTCCTTGGCCTCTTCTGCACTCTTACTGGCTCCAGCTTTCTACACGGCGGCCCCACTCACATCAGCTGGGATCCTGCCAGTCATGCAGTCCCTGTGCCCTGACGGTCAGCGTGATGAGTTTGGCTTCCTGCAGTACTCCAACTCCACGTGAGTCCTCATGTCCTCACCATGCACTTCCTCTCTCACCCTTCCTGCTCCCACCCGGAGCCTGCCCCTTTCCACACTGGCACTGCCACTCTGGGGCTGAGGCAGAAGCTGGCATCCCCCAAGTGTTTGGGTGCAGACCACCGTGTCCTTGGTGCAGGGGACACGTCAGTCTGTTCTGCTGTGGGCTCCCAGGTATTCAGTACTGGGAGGAGGATGGAGGTGGGCCTTGGAAGATACCTTGAGGTGCTGGGGCTCTCCTCTGAACCCTGGCACACTGGATTCAGTGTGCAGACAAGGGCAGTGGTGCCCCATTTCAGACAGGACTGCTGTCCCCTGCACCTGAGGGGCTCTTTCCCTCAGAGCTCTGGGGAAGGTTTCCCCATCCCTCTGTCCCTGAAGCCAAGGCGGTGCTGGGCTCTCGCAGGGTGACACAGATTCTGGAGCACCTCAGCGAGGCAGTAGAGCAAAGCAGCCTCTTCGACCCGCAGCACCCAGGACTGGAGGAGGAGCTGGAGTCGCTGCGCCGACACCTGGAGGCCCTCAGCAGCCCTGAGCCCAGCTCCATGGAGACCCACTTCAGCAGCCAAACAGGTGGGCTGTGCTCTGCCTGCCCCTGCTGCCTGTGTCGGCAGGGACAGATAGCGCCAGCTTGCCTGGCACCCAGCAAAGTGGTGGTGTGTGACAGTGCCCTGCCACTGTTCCGCATTGTTGAATCGGGCAGGGCCAGCTCTGGGGTCGTGCCATGTCCCTGATGCTGGTGGGCTGCACTGACCTCCCACTTTGTTCCTTTACAGGGTCCAGCTTCACACTGGCATGGGCAGCGAAAGACCAGGGTGAGCTGCGGCGCTTCCTGATGCAGAATCTGTCCCTCCCCAACAGCACGGCTGAGCTGCTCCTGGGCTCCAGTATTGACCTGCGGGAGGTGGGTGACCTCTGGGCTTTGCAGGGGTTTGTGCTGCCCTGTAAATGGCACCCAGCTGGGATTTGTCCTACCCTTCCACCCTACACCAGGGCTCTGCTGGGCAAGCTGGTACAGCACTGGTGCTCCACTTTTGGCACACCTGGCAGTCCTGCTCTCATCTCGATGCAGGTGTACCGGCAGTTTTTTGATTCCTTTCCTTTGGTACCTGATGAGACCCATGAGCGAGATCTGTGGGATGGATTTGGCCCCAGCAAGAAGATGACACAGCTGGAGGTGAGTAGCGATGCTACATGCAGGGGACATGGTAGGGTAGAGCCTGTCCTCTTGTCCCCTCCATATCCCACCCCAGGTGATTTAGGGGTGTCTGTCCCAGTAGAGGAGTCAAGACAGAACATTGTCAGGGGTCAGAGTAGCAGCAGGGATGTCTGGGGTCCATGCTGGTGCTGCCACCAGTTCCCTCAGTGTTATGAGACGCACTGGTGCCTATGCCTGGGTTTACCATTGCAGTGGGGGTTGGCGCTGCAGGAGAGATTGTTTCCCCCTTGCATCTGGCATGCAGGGGACTCCTGCTCCCTGCATCTGCACATCCCTTTTCTTCCGCTCCCCGTGGAGACCACGGATGCCGTGGGGCTGTTCGTGTATGTTTGGGGACACATGTGGAGGGGGACCTGGGGGGAGCCCCCATCCCACCAGCCATCTCCATTCTTCATCTTGTAGAAGAACTTCCCCAGTGGCTGGAGGAGCCTGCAGGAAGGGCTGGTTCACAGGGTGCTGCAGGACCCAGTGGCAGCCCCACACCAGCCAGCACTGCTCCGCATGCTCTCCCGGGCTCTGGGCCTCACCAGCACTGCTGTGGCACCTGCCATGTCTGATAGCCCCCAAGCCTTCATCACCGAGATGGAGGTGAGCACCTAATGGGGTAACCTGGGTTGCTCTGCCAGAGCAGGCACTGCAGCACTGTCCCTACAACTTCCTGCCCTGTAGAACGTCCTCTTCACTGGGCCAGTGCTGGAGCAGCTGACATGTGAGCAGCACCCAGGGGAACTGCACCGCCTCCTGCATGTGTCTCCCAGGCAGCAGCCGCTGCTGGTGGCATACCGGGCACTGGCCTGCAATGGCAGCCGAGTCACCCGCAAGGAGCGCTTTGCCCAGCTGGCCTCTAAGCTCCAGGAGCAGCTGGACACCCCCAAGATCGTCAGCAGGGTGAGAGCTGGGCGGCTGGGGTAGGCTGGTGGCAGGGATGAGACTTGGCCAGGGTTTTCTATTCAGCTGGTGTTGTGTTGGGATGGGGAACAATTACATGGCCTGGCTTCTCCTGGTCACCCCCTTCTCTGACACTTCCCCCCCCACCTCCCCCCAACTCCTCCATGGTAAGACCCCAGATGGTTTCCCCTCTGGTTTCCCCTCTAGCATTTGCTTGGACACTGCCTATTGGATGGGACTGGGTGTCCCCAATATCTTCCTAGGTGTCTCTGCCAGCTTCTCTCCTCAGGACCAGCAAAGCCCTTTGTGACACAGTTCAAGCCTGACTTTGAGGTCCCAGTCCATTAATTTGTCCTTTGTAGGAACAGAGGATCATCCTTCCTGTCTTGAGTGATATCTCATGTCCTCACACAAGTCCCTGCCAGCATTTGCCACCATTCTCACTGCCTCACAGCCACAGATGCACAGCAATGAGTCCAGGGCCTTACACAGCTCCAACCTTTTAACTAAGAAAGTGGAGTTGCTACTGTTTGGGGTCCCCTTTGGTCCCTTCCTAATGGCAAGCAGGACCCTGTTGTCCCAGCAATGAGTAACTCCTTGTCCACTCATACTCACAGCTGAAGCTGGAGGAAGTGAACAGCACAGCCACGCAGCACCGCCTCCGGGCCCTCCTTGAGGACCTGGTGGAGATGGAGAAGGTTCTCCGAGATATGGACATCCTCTCAGCACTGGCTAAGCTGCTGCCCAGGGGAGCTTGTGTCAGCAAGGCCCCACCACCCACGGCCAACAGCACCAGCTGGGCCAGCGCCAATGTCACAACTGGCAATGCCACAGCAGAGGAGGAAGAGAGCACCAGGGAGGGCCCATCCAGTATCGACAACCCCCAGGGGCAGTTTTCAGCATTTGTGCAGCTCTGGGCGGGGCTGCAGCCCATCCTCTGTGGCAACAACCGGTAGGAGTGCTGGGCGATGGCTCCGGGTTCTACCTGCGCAGGCCAGGGGTGTCACCCCTTCCTGAGCAGGCAGGATGGGTGCTGTACCACAGTCTTGTGCTGCAGCCAAGGATGCTCCCTGTGTTGACCAGCAGCATGCAGGCATTGGAGTCCGCTTGAAGGCCTTTTGTGGGCAGGGGTGGGGGGTGCCTGCAGCAATGGGTGCTGAGCCTGAAGCAGAGTGGAAAGCCTGAGCTCCCTTTGCAGGACCATCGAGCCTGAAGCATTGAAGCAGGGCAACATGAGCTCGCTGGGCTTCACCAGCAAGGAGCAGCGGAACTTGGGCCTCCTTGTGCACCTGATGACCAGCAACCCCAAAATCCTGTATGCACCTGTGGGCACCGAAGTTGACAAGGTCATCCTGAAGGTGAGGATGGATAGGCTGGGATCCCTGTTCTTCTCCCACCATCCTGCTCTGCAGATGGGCTGTGCAGCAGGGAAGAGGTTGACTGCCAGACAGGCAGCTCCCACAGGCAGTGGGAGGTGGGCGGGTATCTCCCTGGCTGCTAGCCATCCCAGAGAGCAGAAAGCCCTTGCCTCTGCCCACTGTATGACTTTCTGCCTGGCCCCCAGGCCAATGAGACCTTTGCCTTTGTGGGCAACGTCACCCACTACGCCAAGGCATGGCTGAACATCTCCCCTGAGATCCGAGCCTACCTGGAGGAAGGCAGGCTGCAGAGGCGCATCTACTGGCTCCAGCAGGTAGGACAGTGTGGTGAGGATGAGCCTGCCTGTGATTTACTGCCCTGGCAATAGAGAAGGGGTTGTCCTCCCCCCAAATACCCTGTAACTTCTTCATGGGTATCATGGGTATCCCCGGTATCGACCTTCTCTTGTTGAGACTAGTCTGCATCCCTGCACAGTGTGCACACTGTCCCCCATCCCCAGGAAGAGCTTTAGGTCCTACCTGTGTCCATGGTGGAAGCAGTGACCTGAGAGGCAGGGCATATCCCAGCTTCTCCCTCCCATGTCTTCCTCTCTGTCTCAGTTGACTGCTGACCTCCACAAGCACCCAGAGATCCTGAATGTCTCCGATAGTGACGTTCTCCACCACTTTCTCAACGGTAGCTTCTCTCTGCCCAATGCCAGCATCCTGCTCCAGCAGCTGGATACCATTGACAATGCGGCCTGCAGCTGGATCCGCTTCATGGCCAAGGTGAGATGGAGCCCTTGGAAACCTGTGGGAAAGTTGAACTACTGACAGCCAGGCTCTGTTGGGCTGAAGAGGGTCAGATCCACTTTTTAAGAGCATGGGACAAGGAGTCCTGGTAGAGGTGGTGGCTCCTGCTGTGTCCGGAGCTTTGGGGTAGATATGTAGGGTGGAGGTGCTCACATACTGTTGACTTCAGGGACTGGGGCTGGCTTTGGGTGGTACATGCTGTACTGTGTGCAGGCTCTGTGTGCTAGACCCATCCGAGGCCTTGGGATCTCACTAGCCTACTGGAACATGTCCAGAGAAGGGCAGTGGAGCCAAGGAAGGTTCTGGAGCACAAGTCTGATTAGGAGGGGCTGAGAGCTGGGAGAGCTCAGCCTGGAGAAAAGGAGGCTCAGGAGGGACCTTCTAAGTCTCTACAATTACCTAGAAGGATGTTGCAGCCAAGTAGCGGTTGGTCTTTTCTCCCAGGTGACAAGTGACAGGACAACAGGAAATCTTAAGTTGTAGCAGGGGAGGTTTAGATTGGATTTTAGGGAATATTTCTTCACTGAAAGAATAGTCAGCACTGGAACAGGCTGCCGAGGGCAGTGGTACTACCCCTGTGTTCAAAAATGTGTGAATTTGACACCTGGGGGCACGGTTTAATGCTGGGCTTGATAGTGTTTGGGTTAATGGACTCAATAATCCTAGAGGTCTTTTCCAATTTTAGTGATTCTATGATCCTTCTCCCACTAGGTCAGCGTGGACATCTTCAAAGGCTTCCCAGATGAGGAGAGCATTGTTAACTACACGCTGAACCAGGCCTACCAGGACAATGTCACGGTCTTTGCCAGTATGTCCCTGGGAACCAGCTCTTCTCAGGGGTCCCTGAAACTTTGCCCTTCTGCAGCTGTGCCCTGAAGCCACTGGCTTCAGGATGTGGGTCCCTTGGTGCATGTATTGGGTGGATGAGGGGGCTGAGTGTCTCATGGTGCCTATCCTTTGCCCCATGCTGCAGTCCTGGCTCTCCCACTGACATGGCCTGCTGTCTGTGTGCCTTTGCATCCCATGGGGGTCTCAGATCCCTGGCCATGCCACCCATCTCATCCGTGGCAGTCCTCACGGTGCCCTCCCCATCCCTGCTTGTTGCTGTGGGCCAGCTGATGTGGCTGGCTCCTGTGGACTCCCTGCTTCTGCTGCCCACAGGCGTCATCTTCCAGACCAACAGGGATGGCTCATTGCCCCCCCATGTCATGTACAAGATCCGTCAGAATTCCAGCTTCACAGAGAAGACCAACGAGATCCGGCGGGCATACTGGCGGCCTGGCCCCAACACTGGCGGCCGCTTCTACTTCCTCTATGGCTTCGTCTGGATCCAGGGTAAGTGTCAGTGCCCTGCCAGAGCTGCCCACAGTCCTGGCCCCTGTGCACTCAGCCTAGCCTCACCTTCTCTTCTACAGACATGATGGAGCGTGCTCTCATCAACACATTCGTTGGCCATGACGTGGTGGAGCCTGGCAACTATGTACAGATGTTCCCATACCCATGTTATACCCGGGATGAGTGAGTAACACTCACCTGCAGGACCTTCCTCCTTCCACTTTGCAGGCCAGGATATTTTAGCTGGGCAAAGGGAACAAGTTTGGGGGCCTGAAAGAGACTGATGACACTGGGAGTGATGAGCAACCAGTTAAGTCCAATTCCTTGGACTATTAGGCTCAGGAAGGTAGGGGAAAGTAAAGGAATGGCCCATGGATCTGTTGGTGGTTATGGATTACAGTGGTCTGGAGGCAGTGCCTGTAGAAGTCCCAGACCCACCAACACTTCTGGGCAGGAGGTTGGAGAGGGCCCCATCAGGGGCACCGGGGTAGGTAGGGCCCTGGGCTGAGCCCTTGGCTGCTACCTGCGTGCAAAGGCCTGTCAGCCACGACACTGGATTGTCCTGTGGGCTCACTGGAGAAGTTCTTTTAGGGCACTAAGGAGGTGCTGGGTTTGAGACTGGTTGTCCCTGAGCAGTGGGAGAGCCCCTCCAAAGCCCCATGGTCTCCACAGGGTCTCTGCAGGTCTCTGTGGCAGTGCCACCATCCAGTTCTCCCCTCTCTACCCCATCAGCTTTCTCTTTGTCATCGAGCACATGATGCCCCTATGCATGGTGATCTCCTGGGTCTACTCAGTGGCCATGATGATCCAGCACATTGTGACAGAGAAGGAGCATCGCCTGAAAGAGGTAGGGATGATGGAAGAGATTCCTGGGGAGGAGTGTTCATATCTGAGCCCTGCATTCTGTGCTGGGTCCCTGGTCACCTTCCTTGTATTTCTGGGTTACATGAACTAAGGCAGATGCAGTTCCTAAATCCTTGGGCTCAGCTGGTCCTTCTGAGTGTCCCCTGCTTGAGATGGGCCCTGCCCAGCACTGGAGGGAGCTGAGCTCCTTGGCACCCCGATAGAGGGTGCTGTGTCCTGCCCACTCCCAGCAGCTCCCTTGGTGCTACCCCTTGCCCTCCCAGCCCAGTGAGAATGGGAGTAGGGGTGCACAGGGCTGGGGACAGCCCTGCTGAGTAGTGTTTGCCGCACAGGTGATGAAGATGATGGGCCTGAACAATGCGGTGCACTGGGTGGCTTGGTTCATCACTGGCTTTGTGCAGCTCTCCATCTCGGTCACGGCACTCACTGCCATTCTCAAGTACGGCAAGGTCCTGATGCACAGCGACGTCCTCATCATATGGCTCTTCCTTGCCATCTATGCTGTGGCCACCATCATGTTCTGGTGAGCTGCCTGGTCTGTGCTGGACAGGAAAGGGGCATGGGCAGTGCCAGGTTCTTGGAGCAAGGGTGCTGGGAGCTATGTGGGCAAGGGCTGGTGGAGGGGCACAAGTCTCTCCAAGCAGCTGATCTGGGGAGCCAATCGCCAGAACCAGATGGTGTGGGGAAAGTCCTGATGGGTTGGGATCCAAGGAGACGCTGTCCTCCCTGCAGCTTTCTGGTATCGGTGCTCTACTCCAAGGCCAAGCTGGCCTCTGCCTGTGGCGGCATCATCTACTTTCTCAGCTATGTGCCCTACATGTATGTGGCCATCCGGGAGGAGGTGGCACATGACAAGATCACAGCCTTTGAGAAGTGCATTGCGGTGAGTTGGCTGCAGCAGCTGGGACCATGCTTAGTCCTAGGATTGCCTCAGGTACCTCATGTCCACTGCAAAGCTACCAAGCTGTCACCAAGCCCAGGGCAAGCCTTTGCCAGTATGAACCAACTCCCTCTGGGGCTTTGGCGGTATCTCCAGAAGGTTTGGTGCCTTTCAGGGCCAGGAGCATTTCTGTGGGGCTGGGTGGGGCAATGCTGGGAAGGAATTCACCCCAACCTGTTCCTCTGGAGCTAGCCTGTGGTTCCTGCTGACCTCCCATTCCCTTCCCTCCACCTCTTCACAGTCCCTCATGTCCACCACGGCCTTTGGCTTGGGCTCCAAGTACTTTGCGCTGTATGAGGTGGCTGGCGTGGGTATCCAGTGGCACACCTTCAGCCAGTCACCCGTGGAAGGAGATGACTTCAACCTCCTGCTTTCCATGATGATGCTCGTCGTGGATGCCATGGTGTATGGGGTGCTCACGTGGTACATCGAGGCCGTGCACCCGGGTATGTGTGGGCAGAGGGGCATGAGGGCACCCCAGACCTTACGGGAGCCTTTTTGCTAGACATGCCCACATGTCTTATCTGCTGGTATCAGCCAGATGTCTCAGTTCAGGGGCCAGCTGTAGCAAATCCAGATGTCCACAGCTGAGATACCAGTCTCCCTTATCTCACCTTGTGGAAGCATCTCAGTTGCTCCCTGTTTTTTTATTGTAAAGTTGAAGCATAAGCCAACCCAACTAAATCCCAAAGGACTTTGTTTCCTAGCACAGACCACAGAGCTGCCCTGAGCCCAGCTGTCTGGAGTGTTCACAGCCCCCACCCTGCATTAGTGACCTGACCTGGGAAAACCCCCAAGCCTGTGCCCATGCCAAGCTCTGACCCAGTCGTCAGCAGCTTCTGCATGGTCCTGGGCGTAGGGTTGGCCCTGACTCCCTGGCGCTGTGGTTGCAGGCATGTTCGGCCTGCCACGGCCCTGGTACTTCCCTTTCCAGAAGTCTTACTGGCTGGGCAATGGGCGTGTGGAGACCTGGGAGTGGACCTGGCCATGGTCACGCACCACCCGCCTCAGCATCATGGAGGAGGATCAGGCCTGTGCCATGGAGAGCCGGAGGCTGGGTGAGGGCAGTGGGGAGCAGAAGTGGGTGGCACAAGGGTGGCCCTGGCTCTGCCACAGGCCTTGGCCATGGACTCCTGTGCTCTTGCCAGGGCAGGATACTGGGCCTTTCTGGGATCTGTGACTGTGGCGTGGGAGGGGGAAAATTGGTGAGAAGCAGAGGGGAAGGGACCACAAGCCAGCATAGCCACCATAGGATGGAGGCGGATTGATTCATTCCCAGGGAGCCCCACTCAAAGCCTGGCTTCACTGCCCTCCCCTGACTCCTCACCATCCCACTGTCACAGCAGAGGAGACAAGGGGCATTGAGGAGGAGCCAACACACCTCCCCTTGGTTGTCTGCATCGACAAGCTCACCAAAGTCTACAAGACAGACAAGAAGCTGGCACTAAACAAGCTGAGCCTCAACCTCTACGAGAACCAGGTTGTGTCCTTCCTGGGGCACAACGGTGCAGGCAAGACTACCACCATGTGAGTACCTGTCCATGTAGACAGAGACCATGTTCCTCTGGCCAGCTGCAGAGTGTGAGGCAGGGACTTTGGGATGTCTCTGCAGGGTCCTGTGGCAGCTGATGCCATGCCCAGAGGGCAGCAGTATGGGTGTGGGGCTAGCACAAACATGGGGCAGGCAGTAGGCTCATGGCCTTGTGCTGATATTGCTCTGCCTGAGGCCGAGCAGATGCTCCCAGAGATGGTGGTTGGGACTGGGGCCAGACTGAGGAATATGAGCTCCCTCACACTGTTGCCTTTCTCCATCCATACAGGTCCATCCTCACTGGCTTGTTCCCTCCAACATCGGGCTCTGCTACCATCTATGGCCATGATATCCGTACAGAGATGGACAAGATCCGGAAGAACCTGGGCATGTGTCCCCAGCACAATGTGCTCTTTGACAGGCTGACGGTGGAGGAGCATCTCTGGTTCTACTCGCAGCTCAAGAGCATGGCAGAGGAGGAGATCCGCAAGGAGATGGACAAGTAGGCACCCTCCAGCTCCTTTGTCTTCATCCATGCCTTTGGCATGAGTGAGTCTCCTTCCTGCTTGCTATGCCAGGAGGGGTGATCTGGTGGCAGAGGAGTCCCATAGAGCAGTTTCACCAAGTATTTTCCCACCCTTGGGGTGTCAGGCTGTGGAAGTGAGCAGAAGATGCTCATAGCCTTACTGCAGCTGGGCAGTCCCAGCAGCCGAAAGCTGCAGATACCATGTGAGGAAGAGGCATTACATACTCCTCACAGGCACTGAGCACCATTACAGCCCCTCCAGCATTCCTGGTGCTTCTGCCCTGTCCCCAGGATGATTGAGGATCTGGAACTCTCCAACAAACGGCACTGCCAGGTGCAGACTCTCTCAGGTGGCATGAAGAGGAAGCTGTCAGTGGCCATTGCCTTTGTGGGTGGGTCGCGGGCTGTTATCTTGGATGAACCCACAGCTGGTGTAGACCCATATGCCCGAAGGGCCATCTGGGACCTCATCCTCAAGTACAAGCCAGGTGAGCAGAGCTGGGCAGAGCCTGGCATGCTCCTCTGTGGCAGCCATGGCTCCTCTGCTGAAGCTTTGTGCTGCCATCAGGGAGGACCATCTTGCTTTCCACACACCACATGGATGAGGCTGACCTGCTGGGGGACCGCATCGCCATCATCTCCCATGGCAAGCTCAAGTGCTGTGGTTCCCCGTTGTTCCTCAAGAGCACCTATGGTGACGGCTACAGGCTGACAGTGGTGAAGAAGCAGTCAGACACCAGGAATGGCACAGGTCTGGGGAGTAGTGGGACCCTTTGTTAAGGCAGTAGATGGCACCAGCTCTTCTTCAGCCCAGCAAAGGAGAAGTCAACACCCAAGTATTCCTATCCTGAGTCTTCTTAGGCCACATGGAGGGCAAAGGGGATGGGCACGGGTGTAGGAGGTCCCAGCTGGGTCCTTGGCCAGACCTTACACAGTGGCATTTGTCTCCAGGTGCTGGTTTTTATTGAGCCTGTGGGTTGCCCACTGAGATGTCCAGTGTGGGCAACATTGCAGAACACCATCCCCAGGCCAATGAGGGTGACACGAAAACCCCTGTGGCACTGGGGAGTAGGGGAAATGTGGTGGGTCTTGGTGTGAAGCCAGGTGTGAACTGACCAATGGGTACTGCCCCTCTGCCCCAGAGCCAGGCCAGCCACACAGCCCCCTGGGCCACTCATCTGTCAGCCCCTGCTCTGAGCCTCGTGTCTCCCAGTTCATCAAGAAGTACGTGGCCTCCTGCCTCCTCATCTCAGACACCAACACAGAGCTCTCCTACATCCTGCCCAGTGAGGCCGTCAAGAAAGGCTGCTTTGAGAGGCTCTTCCAGGTACCTGCAGGGGTGGCAGAATGTGCAGGCAAGGCGTTGTGGCACTGTGGACAACTGTCCTCCTCACACAGCACTTTGCTCCCACAGCACTTGGAGCAGAGCCTGGAAGAGCTGGACCTCACCAGTTTTGGGCTGATGGACACCACACTGGAGGAGGTCTTCCTGAAGGTGTCTGAGGAGGACCAGTCTCTGGAGAACAGTGACGTGGGTACGGGCACTGGCGGGGGAACAAGGTGCTGCTGGGGTGAATGAGGGGCTGTGTGATCTTGCTGGCCTTGGTGGCTGCAGGAATCTCCTGTCCCAGGTAGAGGAGAGATTTCCAGCAGAGCCCATCCTGGCTGAGGGCAACCAGCCTCTGCTCCACTCTGGGATAGTGGCTATAGTTACTCCCACCTGGAATAGTGGCTAACTCTGGTGTCCTCAGCACAGGTCTCCAGAGGATGCCAGAGAGATGCTCCAAGGGCTGGAGTACCTCTGTCATGGAGCCAGGCTGGGAGAGCTGTGGGTGTTGACCTGGAGAAGGCTCCAGGGAGACCTTATGGCACCTTCTAATGCCTAAAGGGGGCTTGAAAAAATGAGAAAGAGGACTTTACATGGGCAGATAGTGTTAGAATAAGGGGGGAATGGTTTTAAACTAAAAGAGGAAAAGTTTAGATTAGATGGTAGAAGGAAATTCTCCCCTGTGGGGGTGGTGGAGGCCCCTGGCACAGGTTGTGCAGAGGAGCTGTGGGTACACTATCCCTGGAAGTGTTCAAGGTTGGATGGGGCTTGGAGCAACCTGGTCTAGCAAAAGGTGTCCCTGTACATGGCAGGGGTGTGGAATGAGATGATTGACCAACCCAATCATCTTCCAACCCAAACCAGTCTGTGATACGATCCATCCCCAGTTGGTGCCATGCTGCAATGAAGAGTAGCGTGGCTGGTGGCAACCCACATTTTTTTCTTTCAGACGTGAAGGAGTCCAAGGATGCCCTGCAGCCACCCGCCTCTGAGCTGAGCCCAAAGTCTGAAGCCAACAGAGAGCCCCTGCCCGAAGCAGCCATGCCAGAGAAGCCCGAGGTGGAGCTCAGCAACCTGGTGACCTGCTCCAAGCTGGCGCAGTCGCAGGCATCCCTGCGCTCAGCGTCCTCGGTGGGCTCCGTGCGCGGCGATGAAGGTGGGGCTTATTCCGAATTCTTTGGGGATTACGCGCCCCTGTTCGATAACCAGCAGGACCCCGATAACATCAGTCTGCAAGGTTGGTGCCGCTGGTGCCCGGCCAGCGGCAGGGGCCAGGGGAGGCACTTATCTGGGACATGAGGGTTTGCCCAGGGTAGGCAGAGCTGGCCTAGTCTCTTGGGGTATGTGGTTGTGTCTGAGATGAGTGGCTGTGACTGCTGGGACGAGAGCCTGTGGGGAGGGGGCTGATGAAGCAGCCAGCACCCAGACAGCCACAGCCTGGGTGGGAGGGCTGGGAACAGGCTCCTTCCACAAGTTTGCGCCCCATACTGGTAGGGTGGCATGAGGATCTCATGCCAACGTGTGGAGCCAGTGAGAGCAGCCTGTGTTGGCTTTGCCTCTGCCTCCTTTGGGTCTCCAGTGCCACCTTGCAGACTTGCCCCACTAACATGCCCTCTTCCTACACTGGCACCAGTTGGGTTTCTTCTCTTGGTCCATGGGCACAGAGTCACCTTCCAGGTGATGGCTTTACCTGTCATACCCTGCCCTGGGTGCAAGGCTCTCCCTGCCTGGATGCTGGGATTGCTGGGTAGAGAGGGTTCAGGAAAGCCTTGAGGTTATTGCTGTAGTCAGAGATCCTGTTCTGGGTTATCTCACAACTCTTGTGACTAATTTAGGGATGTACCACCTCTTCCCCCCATCAGGTCTGTGAGAAGCAGAGCTGTGACAGTGCTGTGACAGAGCTCCCACTGTCTTGCTGGGACTCCCTCCTGTGTCTTGTCCCCTTTTCCTGACTGTGCTGACCCCCTCTCCAGCTGGCAGAGCTGATGGGAAAATGGAGGGGTCCTAGAAAAAAGCAGCAAATTAGATTGTTTTTTTAAAAAACTATTGTTGAAATTTTCATTTTGGGGCCGAGAGGAACCTGCCAGCCAGATACCTTGCTTTCCACTGCACTGCTGCTGTGGCCCAGTGGCAGAGTTGGGGTTGGGTGCTGCCCTGACTCTTGGGGTGGCTGAGCTGGGCTGAGTGTTTGGCTCAGCTTCCTGGGAGCCCAGGCAGGTGTGGGAGCAACTGTGCCAGAGGGCTGATGTCCCTTTCCCTCCCAGAGCAAGAAGCAGAGGTGGAAGCAGAGGATTGTGACCTGGCAGGTCAGGGGAGCTTCAAGCTGGAAGGCTCGTGGCTGAAGCTGCGCCAGTTCCATGGGCTGATAGTCAAACGCTTCCACTGCGCCAAGCGCAACACCAAGGCCCTCTTCTCACAGATCCTCCTGCCCGCCTTTTTCGTCTGTGTGGCCATGACTGTGGCGCTCTCCGTGCCTGAAATAGGTGCATGCAAGCCACCTACCTACCTGCATGCTGGGAGACCTGTTCTGCCTGCCCCAGTGTGGCCACTGGCTGCAGGAGGACAAGGCCAAGGCAGTCTCCCTGTATGCAGTGGTGCTGTGGGTACGAGCAGGTTCCTGTCTCTGTCCCCACAGGTGATCTGCCACCCCTCATCCTCTCGCCATCCCAGTACCACAACTACACCCAGCCTAAGGGCAACTTCATTCCATACGCCAACGAGGAACGGCATGAGTACCGGTGAGAGCTGCCACCACTAGTGAGCAGCACCCCGTGCCCAAGGCCCATCCCTGACTCCATCTGTGGGACTGCAAGGGGGGCAAGTGGGGAGGGCAGCCCACAGCAGGCTTAGTGCCTGGGCTGGTTCAGGCTTGGAGCAGAGCCCTGATAGAAAGCAAGCTCTATGCTGGCCAGGGTGTCTCTGGGAGATGTGCCAGCCCTAACACTGTGACTAACAGCTCAGTCATGCCAGGCACAGGCTGTGTGTGCCCATTAGTGCCAAGGCCTCAGGGAGGTCCCAGAAGAAGATGGCCATGGTGCTGAGACTTGTCTCCTGCTCCTTGCTCCTGCAGCATTAGGCTGTCTCCCGATGCCAGCCCTCAGCAGCTGGTGAACACTTTCCATCTGCCCTCTGGTGTGGGGGCCACCTGCGTGTTAAAGACACCCTTCAACAACACGCTGGACCAGCCCATGCAGACCCTCAACCTCAACAGCAATGAGTCCAAAATGCTGGCAGCCAAGTACTTTGATGCCATGTGCATCGACTCCTTCACCCAGGGCCTTCCACTTTCCAACTTTGTGCCGCCACCTCCATCCCCGGCTCCCTCTGACTACCCCATGTCACTGGATGAGGACCTGCTCCATGCTTGGAACTCCACAACCTTCTCCACTGTTAAAGGTATCAGCTATGCTGGGTGCTTTTGTGTCTGGGATTTGTCTCCAGCAGGGAGATGATGCCTCTCCTCCCTTAAGTGGCTCCAGGGACCCCTGGGAGTACCTGTTAGTCTGGCCTGGCCACACAGCCAGAGCTTTGTTGGGCTGAACTTGTGGGTTTGGCTCTGGAACACGGTCCTCATTCAGCCCCAGCCATGCCAGTGGAGCCCCTTGGATGGTGACACTGTCACAAAGCCCTGTGGCCAGCCTTGCGTCACCTTTGCTGGACATGGTCCCCAGCACTTTCATTCTCCAGCCACACTTCATGGCCCATCTCTGAATCTCTCTTCCCCCAAAGCTTTTCACACATCCATCTCTTGGTCACCAGGACCCTTGCTGCCCAACCCTCATGTTATCCCCAGCAGCTGAGACAGGCAGGAGCCTGGCTGTAGCCACCCCTTCTATTCCTCAGGGACTGTGACCTCAGCCCCTGCCCTGCCCCGCATCATCCATGAGCCCATCAAGTGCACGTGCTCCATGCAGGGGACTGGCTTCTCCTGTCCTAGTGGCGTGGGGGGCCATCCCCCGCAGATGAAGGTGGTGACAGGGGACATCCTGACAGACATCACAGGGCGCAACGTCTCTGAGTATCTGCTCTACACCTCGGATCGCTTCCGGCTGCACAGGCAAGAGGGGAGGCTGGGAGGGTCTGCCGTGCACCATAGAGCAGGTGTGAGAACCAGGGGCCTGGGGACATCTGCCCCAGGGTGCTGGCTGGAGTCAGCAACATGCTTAAGCATGGTTCCACCCCTGGAGGTGGGGGACAGCAGTTTCAGCTTCCACAACAATGTCTTGTTCCACAGGTATGGGGCACTTACATTTGGAAATGTCCAGAAATCCATCCCGGCCTCCTTTGGAGCCAGGGCTCCGGCCACAGTGCGCAAGATTGCTGTGCGGAGAACGGCCCAGGTGGGACAGCACTGCACCTCAGGGGAGGGGACATAGGTGGGGAGGAAAGGGGACACCCCTGGGATGGCTCTGCCACCTTGCTCTCCAAGTGCTTTGGGAGGCTCCAGCCATGGGAGAATGATCAGCAGGTCGCCCAGCACAGTCAGCAATGGCCTGTTCTCCCCACAGCCTTGAGCACAGGACACCTGCCCTGTGGCTGGCTGTCACTCCCATCCTATCCCTCCTTCCCAGTACATCTCTGGGCCCAGCTCTCTTGCCATCTCCCCCTGTTCTGCTCTCCTCCTCCAGGTCTTCTACAACAACAAAGGCTACCACAGCATGCCCACATACCTCAATGCCCTCAACAATGCCATCCTGAGAGCCAACCTGCCCAAGAGCAAGGGCAACCCTGCTGCCTATGGTGAGGATCTGGAGGTGTTTGAGGGCAGGAGCATGTCAGAAAAAGCATTAAGGGCATGGTCCAACCAGGCTCCAAAGTGCAGTGTCCACCTTGGGCCAAGCAGGCTAGTGTCCAACTGGAACAAGGGTTCACACACCTCAGCTCTGAGATATGAGAGCTGGGATGTCCCAAAGTGCCATTTGAAAGTGCCTGGGGTTATGACATGTCCAAGGGTGCTCTCCAGTGAGGGGAGGGCTTGACCTTGAGGTGCTGAGTTGCTTCAGAGAGCCTAGCTCCTTCTGAGGTTCAGGTTGGAAACCCATCCTGCTCAGAGCCAGGACCAGGCAGACTGGGAACAGGGGTCTGTGTCCCAAGCCAGTTTTCATGCTTCCATGTTTCTTCTTGGTCGTTGTTGCAGGCATCACAGTCACCAATCACCCCATGAACAAAACGAGTGCCAGCCTGTCCCTGGATTACCTGTAGGTCCAAGGAGAGGAGGGTCTGAGGGAGGGTGGCTGTCCCATGGGAGGTAGGGGGCTTTTTACTGGTGGTTGCAGGGGAAGGCCAAGGCTTCTGCTCCACAGGCTGTGTGATGGGGAGGACAGGGTGGCTGTGATGTGGGGGTCCCTGTGCCATGCCCTGCTCTGTCCCACATCAGAGTGGGTGGCTGTTCCCAAGACAACCAAGGGTGATGGAGTCCCTGCTTTCTTTGCTCCCCATCCAGCCTGCAAGGCACAGATGTGGTGATTGCCATCTTCATCATTGTGGCCATGTCCTTTGTCCCAGCCAGCTTTGTTGTATTCCTGGTGGCCGAAAAGGCCACCAAGGCCAAACACTTGCAGTTTGTGAGTGGCTGTGACCCCGTCATCTACTGGTTGGCCAACTACATGTGGGACATGGTAAGCAGGACACTTGGCCCCACTGGCCAAGCCTCTGGAGCTGTGCCAGGGAGTGGGCAGTCACAGAACTTTCTCTCTTCTCCAGCTAAACTACCTGGTGCCAGCCACATGCTGCATCATCATCCTGTTTGTGTTTGACCTCCCAGCATATACCTCTCCCACCAACTTCCCTGCTGTCCTCTCCCTCTTCCTGCTTTATGGGTATGTTGCACAGAGATCAGGAGGCACTGGGGATGCCTCCAGAGTCTTATGGGGTGGTGGTTTTAAATGAAAATTTAGTCATTTAGACCAGATATTAAGAAGAAATTTTTCTTAATGGGGTGGTGAGGCCCTGCCACAGATTGCCCAGAGAAGCTGTGGCTGCCCCATTCATGGAAATGTTGTAAGGCCAGGTTGGGCAGCTTGGAGCGCTAGTGGAAGGTGTCCCTGCTCACGGCCAGGAACTGGATTAGATGATCTTGAAAGGTCCTTTCCAGTCCAAACCGTTATGTGATGTTCTGCATCTTCTATAGCTGGTTGGGTGTGGTGACTGTGAGGGCTGGAGCGGGGGAGCCTGGGAACAGCAGGATGGCAATGGGCAGTCCCAAGGCTGGGGGCCCCTCTGCTGTCATACTGACGTGTGCTGCTTCCTCTCACCTCCCCAGCTGGTCCATCACCCCTATTATGTACCCGGCCTCCTTCTGGTTTGAGGTGCCCAGCTCCGCTTATGTCTTCCTTATCGTCATCAACCTCTTCATTGGCATCACAGCCACTGTCGCCACGTTCCTGCTGCAGCTCTTTGAGCACGACAAGGTACCGCATTCACCGCTCTGCTGACAGCCACCAGGAGGGAGACGCTGACATCTGTTTGTGGCGTGGCTCAGGCTGGGAGGGACCTCAGGAGGTTTTCTCTCATCAGCCATGAGACCTGACTGGGCTGGATTTTGGAGATCCTGATCCTACCACTCACTCAGGGTTGTTTGATGGTTGTGTGCTCTCTGGTGTCCTCACAGGATTTGAAGGTGGTGAACAGCTACCTGAAGAGCTGCTTCCTTGTGTTCCCTAACTACAACCTGGGCCATGGCCTGATGGAGATGGCCTACAATGAATACATCAATGAGTACTATGCCAAGATTGGTATGGCTTCTTGTTCTCTCCCTCCCTTGCTCCAGGGCATGTGGGGCTGGAGGGGACCATGATGCTGGCACATCCCCCCAGCCTGCCCCCATGGAGTTGTCCCAAGGCCCAGAGCAGCCTGGAGCAAAAAGCCAAGGGGGTGGACTAGATGAGGCACAGAAGAAGACATGGCTGAGGGTCCGCTGCCTGTGGTGGGCTATCATTTATCTGTGCTATGACAGGAGGGATGGGGGCTGCAGGGACTTTCCTTCCAGACAGGGTTTCTTGGGGGCTGCACTGCCCAACCAACTTTTGCCACAGTTTCATCCTGGCTTCAGAAGCTCCCTGCTCTCTGCTTTTTGAGCAGCTTCTGTATAAAACCCAGGTGCTGCTGGCATTATGAGGGACAATTTTGGGTCAGGATTTGACAAATGCCTCTGATTCCACTCCCAACTGGGTTGATTCATCCTACTGAATTTGAGAACTTGCTGGATGATTTCCACAGCGCCATACACTGAGAGGGAACTGTGTTGCGACCAGCCCAGGCAGCTGTGGTGGGAGAGCATGGGAGCTGTGTCAGTGTCATGGGTCTCTCCTCTTCCTCCTATTCAGGGCAGTTTGATAAAATGAAATCACCCTTTGAATGGGACATCGTGACACGGGGGCTTGTTGCCATGACCATTGAAGGCTTTGTTGGCTTCTTCATCACCATCATGTGCCAGTACAACTTCTTCCGGAAGCCCCAGTGAGTGTGGCACAGGGCAGGGATGTTGGGGCTGGCCATGGGGTAAAGATTTGCCATTGGGACCCTTGAGTTTCAGGCTGCCCTTCTGGTGGTGTTGAGTGGGAACTGCCCAGGCCTGGCAGGGATGCAGCTCTTGGTCTCACATTCCCCTCTGTCTCTGCCCCCTCCCACAGGCGCCTGCCTGTCTCCACTAAACCCATTGAAGATGACGTTGATGTGGCCAATGAGAGGCACCGGGTCCTGCGTGGTGATGCCGACAATGACATGCTAAAGATCGAGAACCTAACAAAGGTGGGGGTTGCATCAGGCTGCAAGGAGACTCCTGGGACCAGCCCAGCCCAGGGATGTGGGTGGGGCAGTGGGTCCAGGTGGCTCCTGGTGGGTTGAGTCCCCATCCCCTTCCCTGCCAGGTGTACAAGTCTCGTAAGATTGGGCGCATCCTGGCTGTGGACCGGCTGTGTGTGGGTGTGCGCCCTGGGGAATGCTTTGGGCTGCTGGGTGTCAACGGTGCAGGCAAGACCACAACATTCAAGATGCTGACAGGGGATGAGAGCACCACAGGTGGAGAGGCCTTCATTAATGGACACAGGTAAGGGGGCTTGGGGTTGGAGGGCTCCCAGGATGAAGCAGCGTGAGTGAACTGGTGTGTCCCAGTGCAACTCTGGAGCCTCGTGTCCTGGGTGACCATCAGCCTGGGGTGTGGGGCAAGAGACAGTGGCCCTATGCTAGGGCTGCCCACTGGAGATTTTCCTCGGGGAAGATGCTCCAGTGTAAAGGCGTGTGAAAGGGGGCTCAGCAGCAGTCCTCACAAAAAGAATTCCTTCTTCCCACAAACCTTTAATCCTCTCCCACAGCATCCTGAAGGAGCTCCTGCAGGTCCAGCAGAGCTTGGGCTACTGCCCCCAGTTCGACGCGCTCTTTGATGAGCTGACAGCCCAGGAGCACCTGGAGCTCTACACCCGCCTGCGTGGCATCCCCTGGAAGGATGAGGAGCGGGTAGGGCTCTGGGCAAGCAGATGGCAGCATCCAAGGCCTGGTGCTGTGCCACAGGGATGGCATCTCACTGGGCAACAGCGACTGAGCTAGTGCTGCTGCTATTGTGACAGTGCCTCCCTGGCAGTGGGCCCATATGGGCTACCAGAGCCAGGCATATGCACTCGCATGTCCCCACCCGTGCTCATGGCTGTGCCAGGGGTGGCTATGAGGCTCCCCTGATTGGCACATGGCTTGTAGTCCCCTTGGAAGCTGACACGCCAGAGACTTCTGCCTGCTCGGCCAGCCCCATGGCCTTGGCAGGATGACAGCAGTTCCCCATGCCTTGCAGGTGGTCAAGTGGGCACTGAAGAAGCTGGAGTTGACCAAGTACGCAGACAAGCCCGCCAGCACCTACAGCGGGGGCAACAAGAGGAAGCTATCCACAGCCATCGCACTCATCGGATACCCAGCCTTCATCTTCCTGGTGCGCCCTGAGGGTAGAAAAATGACCCCAGGTGGGAGGTGCCCACCCCCTGCTTCACCACACACCACTCATTTCCTGGATTGTGGGATAGTGGTCTGAGTTGGACTCAGGACAGGAAGGGAGTGGCAGGGTCCCTCCCAGGGCTGGCATGTCTGAGGGTGCTGTCTATCCCCCAGGATGAGCCAACCACAGGGATGGACCCCAAGGCACGGCGCTTCCTCTGGAACCTCATCCTGGATGTCATCAAAACTGGTCGCTCCGTGGTGCTCACGTCTCACAGGTCCAGGGGGGTTCTGTTAGCCCATGATGCCTCCAAGCACCTGGGGTGCTGTGTGGGAGGGATAGGGCTCCCTGGTCCCCAGGGAATGGCATTTGGTAGGGGGAGGCATGGGACACCTTCTGCTGCCTTCTCTCATCCCTGCTGGTGGGGCCAAAGCACTTGGGTGATGGGCTGGGAGGCCCAGCTCTCCACCTACCCCCACCATAGCCCTGGCATTGTCCTCTGATGCCCCCTCCGCTGAACCCTCCCTTGTCACCTCAGCATGGAGGAGTGTGAGGCCCTCTGCACCCGCCTGGCCATCATGGTGAATGGGCGGCTCAAGTGTCTCGGCAGCATTCAGCACCTGAAGAACAGGTAAGAGCCTGGCAGGAGCTCATTATGGCTGCATGAGGCACACAGGCAGCCTGTGTGTGCTGCTGGCCAGGGCGGGGCTGGGTCCCCATGGCTGGGTGATAGTGTGGGATCCATGACATGATACTGCCTCTGTGTGGGTGCTGCTTCAGAGGTGGGTAGGGAACAGGGTCACTGAAGTGCTCTGCCAGTGGCCTGGTGTCCAGTAGTGGCGGCCTGAGAGCACTGTCCCCTTCCATAGGATCATGGGGGTGCAGATGAGGGGCCAGGTCCTCATGGGGTGCCTTGTTCCTGTGCAGGTTTGGTGATGGCTACATGATCACAGTGCGCACCAAGTCCAGCCTCAATGTCAAGGAGGTGGTGAGGTTCTTCAACCGTAACTTCCCTGAAGCTGTCCTCAAGGTGAGCTGCCCATGGTGGCTATGCTGTCCCCTGCCAGCCCCCACATCAGGGCACAAGCAGCCTTCATCCTCCATGGGGTGATGGGAGGGAATCTGGGAGTGAGGGCTCAGTGCCCCCTCTATGACCACCCCCCAGGAGCGTCATCACACCAAGGCCCAGTACCAGCTGAAATCGGACCAGATCTCACTGGCACAAGTTTTCAGCAAGATGGAGCAGGTGGTGGATGTGCTGGGCATTGAAGACTACTCTGTCAGCCAAACCACACTGGACAATGTAAGACTGGAGACAGCATAGGCAGCTGGATGCTTGTCCCCAGGGAGTGACAAAGTGCTAGGCAGGATCCGACTTTGGGGCAGAGGTTTGAGCGAGATGGGGAACATGGTGGCAGCCACTGCATGGCAGGATGCACTGGCTCCTCACCTGGCAAGCATAGGATGGAGATGCCTGCAAGTACCTGAGTCTCCTGCCTCTTCCTCCTCAGGTGTTTGTGAATTTTGCCAAGAAGCAAAGCGACAACCTGGAGCAGCAGGAGACTAGCCCCAGCTGTGTCCTGCAGTCACCCCTGGAGCGCGTGCTGAGCCTGCTGCGCCCCCGCACTGTCCCCACTGAGCTGCGGGCCCTTGTGGTGGAGGAGCAGGAGGACCTGGAGACTGACGACGAAGGCCTCATCAGCTTTGAGGAGGAGAGGGTGAGAGGTTGTCCCTATATCTGGGTGTTCCTGTGGACCACAGGTGGTCTCACCTGTGTCTGTGCCATGGGCCCTGGGACTGGGTGCTGTGACACCACAAAGGTGGCACAATGGAGCCAGGGCTGGGCCCAGGAGGGGTGGGGACTCTCTTGGAGAGGTGTCTGCTCTGCCACCTGTGCCAGACTCTGGCCCCAGATGCCCTGGGTGGGCTGGCTAAGTGGGCAGCCCCTGAGCCCTGCCTGTCTCCCTGCTCAGGCTCAACTCTCCTTCAACACGGATACGCTGTGCTGAGACCCCAGGGACAACCATGTTGTCAAGCCACCAAACCCTTTTGGCGTCTCCCCTCCCTTTGCCCCGTGGAGCGGAGTTGCCACAGCCGGAGCCACATGCCAGGGAGGACACACTGGGTACAGCAATGCCTGGATAGACCTCAGAAGCCACCACTGGGATGGCTTTTGCCCCCTTCAGCTCCAGAGCAGCATCACTGCATGGTGCCAGGAGCATGGTCCTCAACATGCTGTGGATGGAGACTGTGAAGGAAAGGACAATGGCTCGATGCCAGCACTGCCAGCCCCACTCACTTTGGGGCAGAGACACACAGGCCTGTGAGCGGTGCCTTTGGACACCCGTGTTGCACTCACTCTAGGGACCCTTGGCTGTGGGTACCGCCCCAGGCCTGGCCCCATGTAGCTAGAAGAAGGATGACTGCTTCCACATCACACCTGGCTGATGCTGCCCTGGGCACCACAGGGGCAGGTGCTCTGGTGTTCCACCCACGACCGATTTCTGTCATCAGTGGAATGTCACTGGGGGTCTTGGCCCCACTGGTACATCCTGCCCATCCTGGGGTCTGTTCACCCCAGCCCTGCCTGGCCTTGGGCACTGGCTTTGTCCCCAGGCAGCAGTGCCATTGCAGAGGCACGTGGGGGGGCAGAGGGGTATTTCACAGGGTATTTCACATGCTGGCACCAGCTATTCCTCCCCTCTGCCCTTAATCATGTCCCTCACCCTCAAGTCTCTCACCCTGCCTCCTGCCTGCCCTCACCACTTGCTTCCCCTATCACAGGGCATTGCTGCAGCTCTGCCAGCTTTCTGCTGTGTCCCCTTCCACGTCGCTTTTGCCCTGGCACTTGTTCCTCAGTGTCCAACCCTGTACAGGATCCACCTGCACTAGGTTCTTATTGTTGGGTCACTGGTGGTACTGGAAGAAGGGTTGCAGCACCCCAAGATGGCCTTGGAAGCTGGTGGTGGAGTGGCCTTAAGGTACGAGGGTGGGACAGTCTGGGTGGGTGCCAGTGCAGCCTGGCAGTGGTGCCTGAGGTGGTGGGGAGGGAAGGATGCGCTGCAGTAGTGGGACTGGCAGTGTCACTGGCCAGAGTGGGCACCTCCTCAGCCAGCAGTGCCCCTCCTTTTTGCAGAGGGTCCTGCTGCCTTGTCACCCACAGGGACTATGGCTGGTGCCTGCAGCTCTCAAGAAGCTGCAGCTGTGCCCAGAGGTGGGGTGGTAGCAGGGCCTATGATGCTGACCCTGCCGCCCCCCACTGCTGGCTGGAACAGTCTTTGGCAACGCCCCAGGGCAGTCATGCACCTTCCTGGGGAGAACACACGGTCCATCTGCCCTGTGTGTTCCGATGCCCTCTCTGCCTCCTTGGCATGGGCTTGGCTGGAGGCCCTGAGCAGCACCAGGGACCTCAGCTGGCTGCCACGGGAGGTGGGGAGAGGCTGGCTCTGGTCCCACTTGGATGCAGGAGTAGGGCCTGACTTCAACTGTCGCCATGCCCCCTGGTCCCATCAGCCCCATAAACCATCTGCAATAGATTGTGATACAATATACAATATTTTCAATAGGGGGAAATCTGGGGGAAGCTCTATTTTCAGGTTTTCCAGACCATATTTTTTTTAAATGGCATATGGGAAACTGTCTGGATCTGGGATGGGTTGGAAGGGACAGAGGTGCATGTTCCTGCTCCTATGCTGGCCATACTCTGCCTTCCCCAGGGGATGCTGGGGAACAAGCCAGCTCAAAGTTTGCCCTTTGCCATCAGGGAGAGGGGGTAGTGTCATCTTTGAGTCCCCAGCTGTTATCTTGGTGGCACCCTGGGGCACCCCAGGGTGGGCAGTGCTTTTGTGCTCTGGGCTTTATCCTTGCACCATACCTGCCACACTACACTTTTGTTCCAGGCTCCAGAAGGGCACTGGCAGCTCAGTCACAAAATGTCTTCCCTGTCCACCCAGTCTTCCCCCTGCCCACCATGCTGTCATCCCCATGGCTTCTGAGGGTCAGTGGAGGTGCCCACACAGCCTGGGTGGCAACAGTGGCCTCCCTGCCCTGGGCTTAGGGCTGTCTGGGCACAGTCGCTGCTAGAGTCACTCCAGCAGCGGAAGGTAGCGCCCCAGGGCATTGTCCCAGGGCAGGGGTGGCTGCTGCCTTAACACTGTTCACTTCATTGACTTTGGCCCCGCTTCCGGCCTTGCCTCTCCCTGCACGTCCTTGGCCACCAGCCGTGGGCATAGCGCCAGTGCTACTGCTGCTATACTCAGCCCCAGGCATGGGGCCCCTGGGGGTGGGGACGTCTTGGAGCTGCTTGTATATTGCTACCAAACAAAAATAAGATGAAAATAATGATCGTTTTAAATAAAAAATAAACTGGATCCATTGAGGCTTTGTAGCTGGGCATGGGGGGAATGGCAGGGCTGGGTGCCTGGGAGGGCCTGGAGGAGGAGAAGAGTGGTAGTGCCCAGGGTGGGGCTGCAGGATCCTGCTAGGGGCAAGGAGTGCTGGGCACAACACAGGTCTATGCCCAGTGCTTGTAATCATTCAGGCAGTGTGGGGTGGCTGGGGGTACAGGCAGACGTGGCAGCAGCTGGCAATGTCACTAGCTGCCCTTATGGGCCTGGGGTTGGCAGCAGCCACGGTGGCGGGGCCCTGTAGCAGGGCATCCTGTCTATGCCGTGGGGCCAGGCATGGGTGGGTGTGGGTGCACCCCGAGCAGGAATGTGGGCTGGGAGGGGCTGTGGTTTCAGCTGGGACACTCAGGGTGCAGCCAGCAGTGCAGCAGGAGCTGCCACACAGCATGGCTGAGAAACCCCAAATCCAGCTCTTCATCAAGGTGAGGGGGGTCCTGAGGTCGGTGCCCCAGGCCAGTGGGTAGCCCTGGCAACCAACCCTGGCAGCGCT